ATAAATAAGCTGAATAAATCATATATCAAAGCATAATGGCACGAATTAAACTTTCATTAATACCTAACCTAACCTAACCTAACCTAGGTATCCATAACAATATAATTTTACCTATTTCATTTTTGTTTGGAAAACTGCGACTTTGTACACTTAGATTAGTTTATGAAATATTACAATATTATATTATATATATACACATCTATATAGTTATGTTATAATTTAAAATAGGTAGTAGAGATATTCAAATTCTATTTTGTGAAATGTGTGTATGAACACTTTTATTGGAACGGTTTTACTCAATTATTCTAGTTAAATCGTTAATCGGCAMAAATGTACAGAATCGAGTGCAGTGAAGAACCGAAAACAACTAAAACTGCTGAATCTATTGATCAGTAATCAAATTAAGGGAAGCCACTGGCTGCAAGATAAAATAAATTATAATATGATGAGATACGGTAGAACAGATCATAATATACAGAATATACGTACATTATTGTGTGCAATAAAACAAAATTAAATCACTTAAATTTTTAATTTATGTATTGAAATATAACACACTCAGACAAAACGCACACGACAGTTTTGTCCACGTTCGATATCAACACAGATACGTTTATGATAATTATATTAATTATACTTACATCGCGATCGTTCGAAATCGACTGGTAAGTCTTGCGCAGCTTTCACCGACAAAGTTTTATCCATATCTCGTCGTTAGGGAGTGTTCGAATTGCAACTTTACAGGACATCGATTATAATTAGGGAAGAGGACTTGAAGCATTTGCATATTTGTTTTGCACAGGCACAAMAATAGCAGAGTATATGATACAAATACATTTCATGCTTTCACAAAGCTAGTTTTGAAATTTTATTATGCATATAAATGCATATTTTACGTTCATTTGGTTTTTAAGGCATAATATTTTACACTTTTATACCTACGTGATTTTTTACTTTTTGAGACATATTTCTGTACTAAAATCGATTTTTCCACTGTCACATTTTTTATTTTTAGTACAGTCAAAATGTTTGGATGAAAATTTATTTATTTTTAATTTTTGTCGTATAATATGGTTTTTAAGTGTGCATGGGTACACATTTTTTTGTAGAATTGATAACGATCTAACATTGTGCACTATACCTACGACATCGCCACCACAGCTTTGTGCGCACTGCGCACYACGCGGGCTTTTATTCGATTAGAATTTATTTATAGAACGTTTCTAGACATGATAATAATCAATATTTTAGTATTTAGTCTCAGTAAGTTCTGCATAATGTACATTTGTGTTAAAAAAATATTAAGCACATATAAGTGTTTGCATATTTAGAGCTATGTACAAGTCCTCTACCCTATATAGTTATAACTGTACAAAATAAGCTAGATTTAACTGCATTGTTATTGTGTATACACTAAATGTAATAAGATCTTTGCGTTTTTTATATTATTTTGATGTCATTTGACGTAATTGCAAAATAAAATTTAAAAAAACAATTAATATTWTTTTCAATTTTTAATTTTTATTAGTAAATTTTTTTTACTTTTTTGGATAACAGCATGCATTTTAATTTTGAGCGAAGCGATAAATATATTGATTTTACAATAATTTGTGTTACTTTATTTATTTGAATTTCTTATGTATYTGCGTATACAATAAGTAGGAGAAATAATGCTTCGATTTTCAACTTCGGTAGCCTTTCCGGCGAGAAAGTGAAACTAATTGGTGTATTAAGGAGGTAAAAATTTGAAGTTCTCAGTAGTTTTCAAAAACGCTGGGAAAAAAAACCAAAAAGAAGGAAATACAGGAGTTTTTCGCAAAATTTTGTGTAACTCTCAAACAAATTGCCGTAGATTCATGAAATTTTCACTGGATGTTCAATTTAGAATTTTGATTCATTTTAAGCTGGTTAAGAACAGTTTCAGTTTCAATTTTTTTTCTCTAAATRTCAATAAAATTTTATTCGTTGTATCAAAAAGWTTGAAAATTTAATACAAGATTCAATAAAAATTCAAATAATGACAGTTGAATAACATTTAAAATACATAGAAGCGGTTTTTTTTATAACCGWTTAAAGTTTAAATTTTAACAAAATGTATTAAATTGAAAATATACAAATTATTTAGCTAAATATCCTAGACTGACAAATCGTGTTTCGTATACAATGATCTTATATCATTAAATTCGAATTTAATACCATCCATTTCTGTGACCCACTTGTAACCTACCTACTACACTGTAGAGCACCATATTCGTCGTTGTTTACATACACTATTTTAGCAAGTAAAGGTATATAATTAGCTATAGTTGTTTATAGTTTAGATAAGTAGAATAGTGGGCCAATATTTTACTCATATAAACCTTAAAAACTTAAAATTCATAATTATAACTATAACTTACAATTTATTTAAAATTAAATTTTTATGTATCGAAATATTATTAAAAATATTGTGAGTAGGAATATTAAATAAAATATATATATATGTGGCTTTTCTAACGTCGTTTAAAACTGAAAAATAAATTAGAAATTAAGAACGATGAAAATTTGTAAAAATATCATTTTGTTCTTCAAAAATGTCGATTAGTGTAATTATRTGAAAAAAAATATATTCAAAAAATTTAAAACTTTTAGAAACTATATGACGTGTAGGCACTGAAACTGATAGTCTTGCTGCATAATACCTATATACAACATAAATTTTGCCGCCTGCATTATTTTTTTTACAATCTGTGAATCGATTACCCGTCATTTGAAGGAATAAACTACGTACATCCTGCGCATAATACGACACTATACTTGTAAAACCAATCGATGCAAACATTTTTTATTATTATAATAATATTCTATTATTACCTCTGTGTCTTTTTTTGTAAATCGACAGATGGCGCTAAAGATATGGACATTTCTATTGGTAATGTCGTTGCCTGCTGCTGAGCGTGGACGCAGTTTCGGTTCATTGGCGGCTATAGTATTGGGCAATATCGATTACCAGCAAATCCAACAAAAACTGTTCAGGCACAACGATGTCGGTGATGGCGACAGTAAAATAAGTAAGTTAATTTATTATCGTCGTCGTCTCTTATTCCGTTAAAAAATAAATGATACAAATTTACGAGTACCTACCGGAGTACCTAGGTATACCGTGCACGTCATCCCTTTGCTATAGTAATTCAATTGAACCACTTGTTTAAAAAAAACCGATTTGGCGACTTGTCCAACAAAACGTTTTATTACAGTTGTAGATTATTACTAGATTACTAGACTTGTCCACTATTAAAAATAGTTTTGAATAGCGGTACAAATAGCAAATTGTAGGAATAAAAAAAACCGTACATCTGATCCAGGACACGTTATTTTCA